TTGCAATGATCCCTGTTGAAATAAATAAAAAAAAATCTTGCATTTAGGAGGCGGCATTATCGCCTGCTGAATGCCAGGCAGTCACTGCTCCACTGCCCTCTGAAAAGCAAAACGCTTTTCATAGGGCAATGGAGGCTGCAGCCCATGTAAACAATGCCTGAGAGTTCATGAAGTTCTACCCACTCCAGTATCTGTCACTTGCCAGAACATCTGCCTGTTTGCAGTCGAATGATAGGTCAGGCTTAATCTGGCACAATAAGGTGCCTGCATTTCATCACTAGTCCATTTTATGCCAGCTCAGGATCATTTTAGCTAGGGATGTCCCGATACCACTTTTTCAAGACCAGGTACAAGTACATTCCCCTCATGTACTTGCCGATACCAATTACCGATACTTTTTCTTAAAGGGACAGGTGACTTTAAATGATCCATAGTACAACTACATGTTATGCACTATGGATCACTCAGCTTGTGTAGCAATCATGATTTAACCTATTCATGTTAGCAGGGGAGAATTGTAAATCTATTGCTGCAGTGTAGTGGAGGTGTGTGAGGTATATATGTACTACACATACAGTACACACGTCCAGTACACACGTCCAGTACACTATAGCAATAGATTTACAGCCAGCCCTGTCCCAGCTTCCCTCACTCAGTTTCACTCCGATCCCTGTTGCCTCACACGGTGCCTCTTGTGGTCGGCGCTGGGCAGGATCGCTGCATTGCATTTCAATGCTAATCTTGTGGGAGGCGCTCACAATTCTGCCCTGCTAACATGAATAGGTTAAATCATAATCCATAGTACATATACAGCACACACGTCCAGTACATTGCAGTAACAGAGTTACAACTATCCCCTGCTAACATGAAGAGGTTAAATCATGATCCATAGTACATAATATGTACATAACATGTAGATGTACTATGGATCATTTAACCCATTCATGTTAGGGAATAATTGTAAATCTATTGCTGCAGGGTATTGGGAATATGTACTGTATATGTACTAGATACAGTATGGAGTACACTGCAGCAATAGAGTTTTTCAATTCTCCCCTGCTAACATGAATAGGTTAAATCATGATCTATAGTACCACTTCACGTTATGTACTATGGATCATGATTTAACCTGTTACTCTATATGAAGTACATTCTACAGTGCACATTACAAATACAATGCACCTCCCATTTCAGCACAGGCCCTCACTTACTAGTGCCTGTTCAATGGAGGTGCCAAATTATTTTGTGAGGACGTAGTTTGTGCTGAGCGGAGGAGCGTCGCGTCACTGCTGTAGGCAGCGCTCCAGGTGGGGTCCTTTGGGCAGTTGCCGGCCACCTACATTAGGACCCCACCTGGAGTGTCGCCCACAGCAGTGACGCAACGCTCAGCGCCGCCGACATCCTCACATGTGAGGCACCATGGAAGGTACTGAAAAAAAAATTAACAGCGCAAGCATCGGCGCTATGCATTGGAGCATTTTGACAAGTACTTGTTAAAATGCCCGGTATCGGTCCCTATACCGGTGCTACCTTCGGTATTGGAGCATCCCTAATTTTAGCGCTTGTGTGCACAGACGTTTGAATCAAAACGTGAAATACAAGTCAGACTCCCATTTCCCATCAGGCCTGGTTCACACCAAAACACAAAAACCCATACAAGTCAATGTCGACAGTTCACACTTAAGCATTGTCACACATGCAATATCTCCTGTCGCACACAAAGATGCAGCAGCTATTTTTGGGGTTTTGGTCCCCTAGACCTCTCTATGCATTAAGAAATGCACGGTTTTCAAAAGCAAAATCGCATGTCAAATGCGCTAAAACAGCTAAACAGTCGCCTAGGTGTGAACCCGGCCTTAATGGTACAGTGTGAATGGACCCATCTGAGGCTATGCTTCACAGTCTTCACTTTGAGATTCTCTGAAAGCAGCATGTCCTATTAAAGATGTGCTTGCTTTGCAGGCAAAGCAGGTCAAAGACCACTTTTTTGCGTTTGAACACATGCAGCTAGAGCTTTGTTGCATTCATGTCTGAAAGCCTGCGTTTGTCAGCAGCATTGATGTATACAAGGGTGCAGTATATTCTAGTTCTGTAATGATTAAAGTATTTGTATAATGACTGCCTCCATTAAACACCCTCCTGGTTATGTCGAGCATAATTTGTTTTGTCCCCTGTACATGGCAGTTATTGTCAGCAGGTCCTAGGCCAGGTTCACGCTTATGTGCTCTAATGCAAATGATGCCATTCATTAACCCCAATTATGTTCTGCATAACACAAATGAGGATACTAGTTTACGTGTGTTGTGCTATGGCAGTCCATTCTGAATGCGCCAGAACATGCAAACAAGGATCCTGGACTTGTCTAAGGAAAGTTTTTAGTAGTGTTGCAGTTGCCATTGGCATACTTTATTTTGCCAATGGCTGTTCTCACTATTGTGGTTTTTAAAACCTGCATTTTGCTTGTGATTAGTATGTGTTTTTACTTTGTGTGCATGCTGGGCCACAGAAAAACAGTGCACCTTCTGAAAACCAGAGAAGGCTGCATTTTGCCAAACCACATTATACAGAAATGCAAAGCTTGGTAGCTGTAAAATTAAATGGTTGCTGTTTCTGTATGGTTTCATTTCTTTCAGCACCATAGGCAATATTTGCGCACACTCGCATGTGAATGTGGCCTACATCTTTAAAACGGAGCTAAAGTCCACTCTACTCCCCTGCTTGTTCACTCGCCGGCACCAACAGCGGTGCTTGGCCTTCTTCCAAACTTGGCATCTTCAGCCACCTTGATTGGCTGGCCTAAGATGATGTAATGCCCATGCATGTGCCCGAAGTTAATTCTTCATGGCACAAAGACATCTCCGTGTGCATTCTAAAGAAGTTTGCGGGCAGCAAGGTAAGAATTTGTTATTGCAGAATAGTCATAGAATGCCTTACTGCTTGCAATTATTTTTTGAAGCCCATGTTCAGCTTTAAGACACAATTTATAAAAGTAGCTGCTGTTAATGATTAACATCGCCTTCAAGGTTCATGTGCATGTAGCCAACCACCCTGGACATGGCCACTAGAGAAAACTAGACCCCATATTTAACAGAAGTATAGCGCAAATGATCATCAAATGGACAGGGGGCTCAAACACGAACGACCTAAAGGACTCCACTGCTGAAAGAAAAACATGGTCAGGCTGGAATTTGCGATCGTGCTGTTTGACAAGAGACCATGCTTCTGTGAGAATGTCCTTTATACAGATTAGTCTAAACTGGAGCTTTTTGGCACACAGCAGCTATGTGTATAGCCGAAAAATTGAGTTTTTCAAAGAAAAGAACACCGTACCTACTGTGAAACCTGGAGGAGGCTCTGTTCTGTTTTAGGACTGATTTGTTATATCTGGCATGGGGTGCCCAAATGTGTGCAGACCACAATGAAATCTTAAAGACGGTTAAGGAATTCTGGAGCGGAAACATACTGTCTAGTCACAGGTCATGGGCCCTCCAGCAGGATAATGACCTAAAAGCACCCAAGGATGACCGGAACAAAACATTGATCATGAGGTTACCTTTGATTGTTATAATATTCACTAGCTTATTATGAATGCCACAGCCTGGTGTGTGTATGCGTGTGCTTTACATGCTGATTTCTTTATTTTCATACACAATTTAAATTTAAAAGGAATCCGGAAAAGACTGAGACACCACAATTGGATGCTGCTCTTTGGTCCTGTTCTGCATGCTATTTTTCGGGAAATTAAGATGAACCTATTCCACCTTGCTCCGTGTGACACAACTGCCTGCAGCCAAGGCATCAGAAAAGGACATATGTAGCTTCTCACGCAGATATTTTGCTTAGTCACAAATTCCCTTTAACAACACATGCATTCAAATTAATTTTCACTAAGCATCATTTGTGAGTAAAATTGGCACTTTAAATAATCCCATGATCACGTTTGCATCGTGTTTGGCAAATTGTTTGTTCCCACTTACAGCAGTCATATAAGTGTGATATTTTATGTGAAGCCTTGTTTAGCCAGGAAGTTGAAGTAGCCACCAGTAGTTGTCTTTTCATATAGTGTAGTTTTGTTAGCGATCTATGCCAGACTTAACAGTAGTTTTATTTACATACTAGGGGTGCACGATTCATATCGCCCTACACCTGGTATCGGGCGCTGGGCAGGTGTTTTTTTTCCCCCTACATTTTAGCCCTGTTGTAGGCAAGCAAGGCTCAATGTAGAGCAGGGAATCCGCTGCTCGTTTAGTACAAGTGACAGCCGCCCAGCAGCCTTGCTTGTCTGTTCTCCGATCTGCTCTGTGTGATCAGTGAGGCAGGAGCGCTGTACTCACAGCTCTTCCTATCTCAGCTGTCACAAGCCGGGCTGCACAGGAGATCGAGCACAATGCTGTGCTCCATCTTCTGTATTGGAGGGTAGGCTCCAAAAAGAGAACCTGTCACTTCCAAACACTATCACACAGGGGCTTGTTAGCTCCTGTGTGATGGCAATAAGGTTAAGTGAAAAATAAATGAATGTGATGGTCAAAAATGATAAAATAAAAAAAATTAAAACCCACCCTGCCGAACCCGCCATCTGCATTCAAAGAAACGCACGCGTAGGGCATTGTGAGTGCATGTGTACGCACTGTGCAATAAAGGAGAACTATGCGTTGAGTGCTTTTCACTCATCCTCATAATTCTAGCCGACCTGTGACAATGAGACTGTCACAGGTCAGGTCAGTAGATCGGGAAGTTCTCCTTTAACACCAGCTCTTCAGTTTAGAGTCTTTACATATTTGGTATCTATTTACTCTGCTCTTTATCATCTTTTTATATTTTAGAGAAATGTTTGGGATTTTAGTGTTTGTGTGCTCTAAAACTTATGTATTTTTATTAAAAACATAGATTTGATAGACAGTGTTCATGTTTTTTTTTTTCTACTTTACTTTTCCTTACTAAAAAGTCTCACATTTTTTAGTAAAATCCTTGTATTTATAAAACGTTGTTGTGCCTTTTAGTACATAACTGGACAGAAGAGGAGACATTGCGGTGGTTGCATGAATTTGTAGAGCTCCCGCAGTATGAGAAGACGTTCCATGAAAACTCTGTCAAAGGAACAACTCTGCCAAGGTGTGTTTGATTTTAATTTCATATATAGCGAGCTTCAGCTTGCGGTATACTGAGACTGCTGCAGCCTGGACGGATATCCGCCCAGCTGCGTGAATGACAGCTGGCTCTGCCTATGTAAATGCCAAGCCAGCTGTACACACCCCCTCTCTCGTCCATTCCTCCGCTCAGCACTGGAGGAGCGCGGGGGGGGGGAGGGGATCCCTGTGGAGAGCGGTGACTGATAGTCATGGCTCTCTACAGGGAGATGATTGAGAAGTGAGCAAGCAACACTATGTGTTCGCTAGAGCTGCAGCTGACGATTATTTTCAAAATCGGTTAGTTAGCCGATTATTACGTTCGGTTAATCGGATAAAAAATAAAATACGTTTTTAAAAATGGCTCCAGTGATGGGACTACTAGTTTGTATTGAGATTGTAGTCCATCACAGGAGCAAGCTTGGAGCGGATGGAAGTAAAAAAGTGTTGTGTGCAATATAGTGAAATGGAAAGTGTAAAATTATACAGCAATGAATGCAGAATGGCACCAGCTATAGGAGAGTACAACAAATCCCAGCAATAGTATATTATACAGCGCAATGCAGAATACCACCAGCTATAGAGGAACACAACAAATCCCAGCATTAGTACATTATAGCTGGCGGTATTCTGCATTGCGCTGTATAATGTACTATTGCTGGGTTTTGTAGTCCTCTATAGCTAGTGGTATTTGGCATTGCAGCACTATATAATGTATTATTGCTGGAATTTGTTTTACTCTATAGCTGGTAGTATTCCGCATTGCGCTGTATAATATACTATTGCTGGGATTTGTAGTCCTCTATGCAGCGCAATGCAGAATACCACCAGCTATAGAGGAATATAACAAATCCCAGCAATACATTATACATTCAGTGTATAATGTATTGCTGGGATTTGTAGTCCTCTATAGCTGGTGGTATATTGTGCTGTATAATATACAGCACAATGTACCATCAGCTATAGAGGAATACAAATCCAATTATAGACCACCATGTGTGGGAAAGTGCAGGCTTACTTAAACAGTCTTCCAGCAACTTGCTTCTGAGATCGGGGCCTGTCTTATCGGCGGCTGCCATCCCCCCACACCTGCTCCTCCTTACTTCTCCCCGCGTCCCTGTGCCGATTGTGGATGTGAGCGTGAGGCGGGGAGGAGGTTGATGCGGGCAGTTCTGGCAACTTTTTCAATCGATTTAGTCGATAAGTTGTTGCAGCCCTAGTGTTCGCTCACTTCCCGATCTATAGAGCTGACGTGTGACAGTTTCATTGTCACGCGTCGGCTTTAAACTATGAGGATTAATGATTTTTACTCACCTCATAGTACTTTTAAATACTGCTGTGACATGGCTGCTCCCCTGATATCCCATGATATCGTCAACAGTCGGGATTCTTACTTTGTGAGCTCCTCAGATCTTTTTTTTTCCTCATGGTTGCCTGTTTATTTGTATTTAATATTAATCTTAATAGTAAATGTATTTTTCTCTTCTCACATGCAGAATAGCAGTTAATGAGCCTTTGTTCATGATATCGCATCTGAAAGTAATTGATCGAAGCCACAGACAAAAACTCCATCTTAAAGCATTGGATGTCGTGTTGTTTGGACCTTTGACAAGTTAGTAGAGTAATAGGTGAAACTCTTTATGAGAACAGAATAGTGTTTCTGATCTGATGATTGATTTTTTTATATGTCAAATGTGATCTTTGCAGGACCTCCTCATAATTGGGTGAAAGATTTTGTGCTGACTATATCTATCGTTATCGGTGTTGGAGGATGCTGGTTCGCCTACACTCAGAATAAGACCTCTAAGGAGCATATAGCACAGATGATGAAAGATTTAGAGGGGCTGCAGAAAGCGGAAATGAGTCTTCTTGAGCTACAGGAAAGGTAAGATTCCAGAATTTTACACCACAGGATTATTTTACGAGTTTATTGTGTAATTTCAGGATACATAATTATAGAATTTCAGCTGCATTAATTCCCTGGGAATGTATCTTCTAGTTTAAAGAGGAACTCAAGGAAGAAGTGTTATTAACCCTTGCAGGGGGGTTACCCCTGCACTGCAAGGGTTAAGTGCTTGTTATTGTCTAGGTTCATGTACATACGCAGTGAATAGATGTGAGAATGTTGAGGAAGATTCCATTGCTGCAGTGGAGAAGGAGAGAGGCTGGAGGGAGCACTGTGACGGCTACACTATATTGTCAAACTTATTGGGACGCCTGGCTTTACACGCACATGAACTTTAATGGCATCCCAGTCTTAGTCCCTAGGGTTCAATATTGAGTTGGCCCACCCTTTGCAGCTATATCAGCTTCAACTCCTCTGGGAAGGCGTCCACAAGGTTTAGGAGTGTGTCTATGGGAATGTTTGACCATTCTTCCAGAAGCGCATTTGTGAGGTCAGGTACTGATGTTGGACGAGAAGGCCGGGCTCGCAGTCTCCACTCTAATTCATCCCAAAGGTATTCTACCGGGTTGAGGTCAGGACTGTGCAGGCCAATCAAGTTCCTCCACCCCAAACTCGCTCATCCATGTCTTTATGGACTTTGCGCAGTCATGTTGGAACAGGAAGGGGCCATCCCCAAACTGTTCCCACAAAGTTGGGAGCATGAAATTGTCCAAAATGTCTTGGTATGCTGATGCCTTAAAGAGTTCCCTTCACTGGAACTAAGGGGCCAAGCCCACCCCCTGAAAACCAACCCCACTCCATAATCCCCCCTCCACCAAACCTTACACTTGGCACAATGTAAGCAGGCAAGTTTGCAGTTGGCGACTTCTGCATACTGTGCACTTCAGCATGCGCTGACCCCGCTCTGTCATTTTACGTGGCCTACCACTTCGTGGCTGAGTTGCTGTTGTTCCCAGTTGCTTCCACTTAGTAGCAAGGAAATTTCACGGAACACCTGAATCCAATGATTTGGAGGGGTGTCCCAATACTTTGGCAATATAGTCTAGCTGGCACGGAACTTTGGGTGAGTATAACTTTGTTATTTTAGCACCGAGGGAAACGAGCACTTATGTCTTGCATTGCGGGGATTACGGAACAGCCTTGGGGCTATGCTAAAAAAAAAATGAAACCTAATTCTGTTTGAATTTCAGAATTCTGACTTTTAATCTCAGAATTCTGTGTTTAACATTCTGACTTCCAAACACCGAAATCATGTTTCATATATTTTTTTAGCATTACCCCAGGACTCTTCCGCAATAGTTACGAAAAAGTTTTCATGTAAGTGATGGCTTCCTCATCATAAAAAAACAACAAAAAACACCTAAAGGTTTAATATCACTTTAAATATCCGATATTTTTCCTCTTAAATTGACTTTTTTGATATATTTAATGGCCTCAACAAGTAGATAATTCACTTTTTCTGCTGTCCGCTAATGTGATCCCGCTCATTTCTAAACTATAAACTCCTATATTTTCTTTCTCCTCAGGCTTGACAAAGCTCAGGAGGAAAACAGAACTGTGGCTGTAGAAAAACAAAACCTTGAACGCAAATTAATGGATGAAATAAGCGATGCAAAACGTGAAGCTCAAAGATTGAGAGAATTGCGTGAGGGTGCAGAATGTGAACTGAGTAGACTGAAGTACGCAGAAGAGGAGCTAGTCCAGGTAAAGTCACAGAAGGGTGGAGATTAGCTGCAAGCGTCTACATTTAGTTATACTCTTCTAAGGAGAATCATTTGTGTCAGAGTGGACAGTGACAAAAGATCCGCCCAGGTATCCCCTGCTCTGTGTTTAAAATGACATAAAAGGACAGTGGAATCTCTAATCGTATTTCTGTTATATAGATAGATAGATAGATCTATAGATGGATATAGATATTTACTGTGTTTATATATATCTATATCTATATAGATATATATCTATATAGATATAGATATATAGATATATAGATATATAGATATATAGATATATAGATATATAGATATATAGATATATAGATATATAGATATATAGATATATAGATATATAGATATATAGATATATAGATATATAGATATATAGATATATAGATATATAGATATATAGATATATATTGCATGACTCTCTTTAAACACAAAAATGGCTTAAAGTGTATGTAAACCCCGACAATGAACTATTTTCTGCCTTTTGTCTATTAAATATACAATTGAAAGTGTTTAATTACATCAGTTTAAGTGCTAAAAAAGCCTGTTGATCCTGCCAGAAAGTCCGTAATTTCTTCCAAGTGCCTGTGCTCTTTGCCTATGCTTGCACTGCCTGGCACATTTTCTCTGATGTACAGAGCATCTCCCCTCTGTTACAGAGATGAGTTAAGGGGGGTGTTTGTCTCTAGTCCTAAAACACCTCTTGTACTAGTGTGACAACGCTGCTTCTCCGTAAATACATTACCACTATGAATGTTGTCACCCAAGGCAGGAAATGTGCTACTGGCTGGATCACCAGGTGAAAATAAAGGAAGCAAGTCTGGGAAACACTAATGCAGCTACAACATCTAAGAACTGGTAAGCTGCAATATTACATTTTTGTTCTTGGGTGTAGATACACTTTAAGCTTTTGTTTCTGTGGCAGTTCCTACCTTTTATTTATACTGAACATGTCCCGATTTTTAAAGGTCTCTATAGAACTTTCCAAAGAAAACTCAATGTTTCCAACTGCAGAGATGGGCCACGTTCTCAGTGTGTCCTCCCCACCTTCCCACTGTTTAATGTGAACTCTCCAGCAGTTCCATCCTATATTGGGCTGATTGGATGGTGGCTCCAAAATCAGTAGCAAACCACCAGTAAAAAAGATAATGGCACTGCACTTCACAAACTCAAATAAATTCCTAAAATGTGAGAAAAATAGAATGAATTGTGAAATTGTCAAAAAAGTGATAACAATTTTGTGTCATACACAACATCTGTGTTGCACAATGCCTGTGCTGATAGTAAGAAAAAACTCTTGATCTTATGGTCTGGACACTATAAACCATAATAAACATGGAAAACAAAAGATGTGCTAGTACATCTCATAAAATGTGTACATATAGAAAATCCTGTGTTGAATCTCACAAGTGATGTACAACTCGCTTTTAATCTACATAACCATATGTGAAATCCATAACTTCTTGATACAATAAAGTCCTTGAAATATGTGATGATATATCTTCCAACTTTTATAATCAACACCCTGTCCATGAATGCATAGACAATTAGTGAATCCGTGCTCTCCAATCTCCACCGTGCTCAAAGATGAGATCTGGCCGCACTCACCGACTCTTATTGCTCACCATATTTCAGATGAACAATTAGCGCTTTGAAAGGTGCAGACTTCCTTGCAGACCGTCGCCTCAGAGGAAGTCAATAGTGACGAAATGCATCAGGTGGGCGGATCTATGCGAGCATTACAATCATAGAGACAGGAGCTCCAGTGGACACAATCCATGTGGACACAGTAAACCACTAGTAACCGTGTGCACACCCTATGGTTCCTTCTCTTAGGTTGGATGTATGTGGTTTCTGGGAAGACTGGAAATTTTATTCTCTATAGTAGCAGATTGGGCCTCCCTCCCACAGGTCCAGATGGAAGTGTAGTTACAGGTTACACCTGCTAATGAAATCTCCCTTGTGTGGCCACAGAACGATCGATCTCCTGAAAAGCATTGTAATTAAGAGTGTTCTAATATACTCCTATAAATCACTAAATCACAGCAAGACATGGTTCCCACTATTTACTAGAGGCTATGAAAGGTTGAGGGTGTCGTGACCTCAGTACATCATAGGTTGAGATTGTCAGTGTAAAGTCAGAATTTTGTATCTGCATACTTGTTCTGGAATGATGACTCCATGTTGAAGCTTGGAGGTAAGCCAATCTGTCAGGCAAATAACACCTTCCGAAATGTAACGATGCAAACGCCATGACTCCTGTGAATGGCTTCATAAGCTTTGAGATGTCTAAATTAATTGTAGATTATTAAATGTAGTTTTTCAGTTTTGCAACCAGCACTGCTGTAGTGCTCCACTTTACTGAAACCATGAAATAGTTGTCTGGAGGTCTGAGAGCATGGCTTGAGGCAGGAATATTATTATACAGGATTTATATAGCACCAACAGTTTGTGCAGCGATTTACAATATGGGGAAGACATTACAATACAATTCAAGACAAGATTGTAAGGAGGGTCCTGCCCCTGAGAGCTTACAATCTAAAAGGAAGTGGCCAGTGATACATGAGGTAGCTGTGTGGGGATGAATTGTTTGAGAATCTGATAGTTCAGTGGTTAGGTTGAGGTGGGATACACTTCCCAAACACACCGCTGGCTACTGTGCCGTGTCTCCCTCATTCAGGAAGCATGACTTAGAAAAATATATTTACAAAACACTCACGACCATTCCGATTCGGTCCTGTGTTAAAAGTGTAAATGTGATTGGTTACATAGCGCCAACTTCCAGCAACTCTTCCAGTTGCATTACCAGTTAGATGGAGTGAATTATAGAAATTCAGGTATATTGAATGTACTGATTTTAGCTGCTTGCTGGTAAAACCTTTTCCGTTTAATGTTTTCCCTAGAATTGTTATTTGAAGCAATTTTTTTTTTTTCTCCAGGTTCGGATGGCTCTGAAAAAAGCAGAGAAAGAATTTGAGCTGAGAAGCAATTGGTCTATTCCTGATGCTCTGCAGAAGTGGCTGCAGTTGACACATGAGGTGGAAGTCCAGTACTATAACATCAAGAAACAAAATGCTGAAATGCATCTCGCCATTGCTAAAGAGGAGGTAATGAATAATAAAGATCTGTCATCAAAGCAGTTGTATGTAAACTCTCATCAGGATACAAATATGGGACATGCCATTGTTTATCTGCTTTTACCAATGTTGGTTCGCTGGTTGTCATGCTGATGCATTTTATTGCTTTCTCAGTCACTGACCTGGAACAAATATACATTTAGGGAATTCTTAAACTTCTTGTAGCATGCTTTTTCCATGTCTGGGGCTAAATAGGCATTGAAACTAGACATGGCCAGGCAACCAGCATGTTTCGGAGTAGGACAGAAATGGCAGCCACATTTCCTTTTAAGGGTTCCATGTTTTTATGTTATTGTATAGGAAGCAGATGGAGCGTGAAAACTTTAAGATTTATGTTTTTTATTTTAATTTTTTTACTGCTCTATGATCAGATATAAATGAATACATTTATATCATCAGTAGAACTTTCGTTTTTTTTAAAAATCGTTTTAATAGTAGAAATGTATTGGCTGCAACCTGGTAGATGTGGGTGCTCCTGATGTGAGTTAGCAGTATATAGTTCATTATTGTTGTTTAAAAATGATGTCAACACGTTCTCTGAATGTACTCCACTCCCAGAAGTTTGGGCGAGTGTGAGGACTGAGGCTAGGTTCACAGCTGCACTACACCGCACGAAACCCGTGCGGTCCTGCACAATGCAGGCAACGATTGCTGCACGGCCCCATTGATTTCAATGGGGGTGACATCCGTGCGGAAATCGCAGAAAAAAAGGTACAAGTGGCTACTTGTGTTCGGAAGCACGGGTAGAATCGTGACGGGGAAACCGCGCAATCCGCCCGGTGCGACTGGGGTGCCATTAGTAAACAATGGCACCCACAGTGCGATCAGCTCACACCTTGGCGACTCCTAACAGCGCAGCAATCTTTGCGGAATCGTGCACAATTGCGGTGAGCTGTTGCCTAGGCGTGAACCTAGCCTTAAGCGCTGGTGCCGGTTTAGCACCATTAAGTTGGTCCTATTTTAAAACTTTTATTTTAATATTAATTATATTCTACTATTAGACCTTCTCTTTTTAAACAACGGCACATGGTAGAAAATGTTGGAGTATTGCTGAAGGCAGAGCAGGTTATATACGAGACAAAAAGGTGCTTAGTGACTTTTTATATTTGGTTCTGGCACCTTCATTTAAACCTGGGGCTGCCTCTTCACATGGTGGGGTGGATTACAAATGTTTTGTTGTAATTGAAGCACACGTGTTGGAGGATAACGCACAGGAGAAAAAGTTTATTATTGCCTTTTGATCTATTGACATTTATATTATGGTTTCATTTATTTGAATGTATTGGATTTTGTTAAGTTTCGCACGATTGGTTTAAGGTGGAGAATTGAATAAAGGTTTGTTTTTTTTACAGATTTGGCACTTTTGAATTAAGTTTTAGCGCTGGGCACCATTTTATATAGTTTTTGCTTATCCCCTTTGTGGGGGAGAATTGGTATTAGCAGGCACTGTCATTTCCGATCAGCAGGGGAGCGGTACAGGTGTCAGTTATGTTCATAGCTGTCCATTTTTTTCCTTTCTTACGATGGAGGAAAAAACTGGATTTGCACAACCCAAGTTAGGTCTGTGTGGAGTCGGATGTAACCGGACATGTCTGTTTAGATCAGATTACCTCGGATCCGTCACGATCAAGTCTGCCAAAATGGAACTCTGTTTTGTTTTCCCAGACTTGCACAGAAGTCATCCGTTTAGATTTGGCTGCCCATAGACTACCACTGGGCTTCCGATCAGATCCGCCTGCCTGTCTGAAAGGGGCCTGAGGTTAAGATTTTCAGCGCAGAGTGGTTGTTGAATATTTACAGTTCACCATTGTTTATATGTTTTTGTTATAGGCAGAAAAAATAAAGAAGAAGAGGAGCACAGTTTTTGGAACATTGCATGTTGCACACAGCTCATCTCTGGATGAGGTGGACCATAAAATTCTTGAAGCAAAGTAAGTATTGGTTTTGTTTGCTCTCTCCTTCTCTCCTTCCATTAAAGTTTACAAATAAATGTTAGTGGTAGATTGGCTACACTTCACGTGTTTGCTGTTGTACTGGCCTTATTTATATTGGAAATGTTTGTTTCAGACTAGACCTCACTTTATACATTTGATTCCACAGGAAAGCACTGTCTGAGTTAACGACATGCTTACGAGAGCGCCTTTACCGATGGCAGCAGATTGAGAAGGTTTGTGGCTTTCAAATTGTCCACAATTCTGGTGTGGCAAACCTAACCTCCACTCTGTACTCAGACCACAGCTGGGTGGTTATGCCCAGAGTCTCAATCCCTCCTTACCCGATTGCCGGAGGAGTGGACGACTTGGATGAAGATACACCTCCAATCATTTCCCAGTTTCATGGTATGTACATCTCTCCAACTTTCAGCTAAGTTAGAGTTTTCTTTTGGAATAGAAGCAAATTATGGATTAAAAATGGTCCCATACATATCTTTTACAGGACAGAGAAATCCATCTCTAGACATAGATCTGGAAAAGCTGAGTCTCCTCATTTATAGATGGCAATATTTAGCTGAGCCAGCTTTTTCCTAGTTGCTTGAATGAGTACATGACAAGTGCGCCTTAAACTAGATCTAAACCCTAACTGGATTACATTTGGTTTGGTAAAGCACTGTGTAACAAAAACAAATGTTTTGTTTAAATGAAAGACTAACTTTGTATCCTTTTTTTTGTTTTGTTAGTACTGTTAATTTCGGCTTTTTTCAGCCACTTCCTGTCTACATGTGCACACTCCAACATTGGCTTCATCTCATTGCTTGGGTAGGGCTTCCTGAAACTGACAAGGCTAACCATGCCTGTGCAATGTGTTATCATGGCCAGTTGTAGTCTTCCTCAGAGGCTTATGTGGCAGTGTGACAATGTAGCAGCACAAATGGGAGACATTTGTCCCCCCCATAACAGGAAGTGCCTGAACAAGGACCCTAATGGTAGAATTAGCAGCTATTAGTTTAATGAAAGCTTAACAACTTTTGAATTGACATTAATATGTGAAAATCCTATATGAGATTTTAGTTTTCAGGTTCAAATCTACTTTAAGCAATCCCATGTAAAGATTGTTTAAAGGGAGCCTGTGTTTTGCCAATTCAGAATACAGCAACAGATTCACATAACTGCTGCATTCCCAAGGGTGCCATAATGTGACTTCCTTTTGTACCCCGACCTCTCCATTTGACCATCAGAAGGCAAAGAAAATTATTCTCAAGGCACCGTGTTGGTTCTTCGGTGCCCATTTAGTAAGAGCCTACATTGTCACATGCTCCTCATGCACAGAAACCCTATATATCTCTTTGCTCTCCGTGTCTGAATAGAGGAGGTGGGGGTGGCCGTCAGGTAAATGTGTTGTGTTCTCTGCATCGTTCTGTTGGTGTAAAGTGAAGTATGATAGAATTATATTGGGAAGATAAAGGCATGCTGGAACGTGGAAGCTATGCAACACTTCGGTTCACTAATTGCTGCGGTCATCATTCAGCAAGATTGCTTTGCATGTCACGCTTTTGTACGCCTGTGTACACAGAGATGTTTGCAGCCTCTGGTGTAACGAGCATTGCCACTGAAATATGCTTCCTTAGTTTGGACCGCTCAGTTTACATTCAAATCACACACAAGTAGACGTCAGAGGTCCTATTTCTAATACCTGTTCTACCAGCCCTATTCACATCCAGCTATTTGTGCAATTGTATGCATATGGGGAGTGTCTGTCTATATTGTAGATCCTATTCTGTCAGGTAGAATATAAGTGAGAGGGCAGAAATGTCTACCCCATATTTCCTGGGGGGGGGATCTAGGATTCTGCTGCATAACCAGGCTCTCGCTCCTTCCCACATGCAGTGGGAGGTTTGCAAACAGCTTGCTTGTAGATGACATGCATGGGTTTTATTAAATATGCAACACACCATAAAATCACATTCTAGAATGACTTCCTATTTTAAAACGTGCAGCCTAAGAGGGCGGCTCTCTGCAGGCATTATAAACCACATTATGCATAGCTGCTTACATCTACCGCCATTCATCAAACTAAACTGCAGCAAACAGGAAAGCGGTACCAAAAAACACAATATGAGCTTTATTTAATCTCTCGGTGTGCATTTAGTACTGTGTTTAATGTACTATGGAGAACACTTAAGTGCAAAGACAAGAATGGGCTCTCCATTTTTATGAAACTTCCCCCTTTCACTGTAAAAATGGTCTCGGATTTAACTTGTGAGCAGTGCCACCTAGTGTCAGCTCCACCAAACTGCAAAAGACGGCCAACCAAATATGAATACGCATAAGTGATGTATAATGAGCATAAAACATGTTATTGATTTTTGATATTTTACTTGTTGACTTGTTGATTTTTAAAAGAAATCTGTCGCAAAGCAGAACGGGGAGAAGTGATGAGTAGGTTCCGCCTCAACATATAGCAGATAGCATGCTGCTTATGATTTGGAGATTGTCTACTTTCATCTGAGACAACTCACACAGATTGTGACAGATTCCTTTTAAGAATCTTCGTTCTTGTTTTCGCTGGCACGGAAGTCGTGTTTCTGTTATGTTCTTACAGTTCTTCTCCTGTTTCTAAAGGTTCTATTATAAAGACCCATGGAACATTGGCACGCAGCAGCAGCATGTGTCGTCCTCGGCGTAGTGTTATTCCACCTTCCCCCCAGTCTCAGCATGTTCTGCAGTCACCTGATCCAGATATTCTGTCTATATCAAGCTGTCCTGCTCTGTACCGCACCGAGGAGGAAGAGGATGCCATTTATTTCATTGCAGAAAAACAGTGGTATGGGAAATCAAGTCAGCCTGTTATGCATAAAAGGTGGATTGTAATAAGATATTATACTGTACACAAGCCTAAAAAAATGTATCTTTAAAACCCCATTTGAAAAAAAGTGCTGCACAACCAGTGGCTCAGGGGTTTAATGCTATCCACATTCTCATAAGTCACAAGCCAATGTTTGCCTAATTTATTTCATTCCTAACTCTCAGTAAGAAGACAGCATTTATTGTCTTGCGATGGTTGTAAAGTAATTTTAAAAAACGTACAATCTGCCCATCTTGGACAGGCAGACCATACTTGCGATCATTGCAAGCCCTCCCCCCTGAGGGGCGGGCTTCCGATGACTGCAATGCTGAACGTGCAGTGTGCGCGTGCGCACACCGGCACGTTTGGCAGTTGTCGAACAAGCACGCCACTAACCCGCCGAGAGTCGTACGATTCCCGGCCGGTTTTCCAGCCTGCTTGTTCGACGGAAGATGTGCGACTGTACAGTAGAAACGGTCGCACGCCTTCCATACACTTCACGATTATCGTACGATCGCGGGATTTCCCGCGATTCTCGTACGATAATCGTATAGTGTATGGGCACTTTAAGATGACACGGGAGGTTTTCAGTTCTACAGGTGAAATGTTAACCATTGTCAACAATGTTGGACCTCAATATCACAACTTTGTTTTTAATGTTATAGTTGCCTTTTCCAGGTTCTGTTTTGGATTAGTTATTAGTACCTTTTGTGTTACCTCCAGTAAATAAGAACTTCATTGTGTGACGAGGTAGCCTCACACAACACCTCTATATCTAAAAAAATGTATAAACTTGTAAAACGTATTGGGACTTAAATAATACACGCCACCTATGTCCATTTTCACCAGAGTTTTGTTTTTAGCAACTTTAAGTGGGTTTTCCAGATTAGAAACCTGTTTAGTTCGGGTCCCTCGTCAGCACACACACATACAGTGTACCTGATTGCCTCCTTATTCTGCCCCAGTCTGTGTGTGGCTGTACAGTATGTTACAGTCGGCTGTCAGTTCTAACTGATACTTATAATAGCTGCATTTAAAAATATAATTCTTTTTTAACCAATATGTCAGAATATTAATTGCCATTTGTTTTATCTGCCTGGAGTTCAGCTTTTCAGCTCTGGCAAATATACTTTTTTCCCCCCCCCAATAAATCAAAATTGTCAGGTGATGCCTTTCATGATTCCAGGATTTTTGATTAAATGAATGTTATTATAATTTTTTTCTGGTTTTGGATTTTAGCTGCAATCTCTTCATGGTCAGCGGAATAATTGAGCGTGTCTTGGTCTTTGTTTCAGGGAAGATACAGGCTCAGAATGTGATTCTCTGAATTCTTCTATTGGAAGAAAGCCGTCTCCTCCTTCAATCCTGGAGGTGCAGCAGGTCAGCGCACCTCCGCGAAAGATCTCCAGAGAGGACTCGTCCTGCGAGGAGTCTTTGTCTGCAGACTCTGCTTTGGCAACAGATATTTCTAAGACCTCCACCCCTGACACCATGGGTTTAACAGAAAGCCAGAGCATGGTGTTTAGCCCAGCCAGTAAGGTATACAACGGTATTCTGGAGAAATCTTGCAGCTTACATCAGATTTCCAGTATTTTACCAGCCTCCAAGCCTCCCCATCCTTCCTTCACCTCCTCTCTGAATGAAAGCAAGCCAGTTCAAGAGGTCCATGGGATTCAAGTCCTCAAGACTACAACGCCTGAACTCTCGCATAACGGAGAGAAGAAAAAGCAGTCTAAAATTAAGGTCCTCTTGAAGAAAATCTCAAAGTAAGTCACTTGAAGGGAAGGAAAAAGACAATAGAGGCGCCATTTTTACCAGTGTCAGAATGTAACTCCATGTGGAGTTTTCAAGACTGGACGTGCCGACAGGATGCTCCGAAGTTTGTCTACTATTTTACTGACTGTGAAGGTCAAGCCAGCGATCACTGAATTTTATTGGAAAGGGGGATCTGTTTACAGTCACTTTTTGTCTATTTCTGCTTTTCAAGTTTTTAGTTACTCTATCATTTTTTTTTTTTCAGAAGCCACTTTGGACTTCCAAGCTTTAAATGAACTAATGAAGCCAGATTTGGGGCTTACCCCTTTCCTCTTGTTTACTGGAGCATCTTCTTATCTTTCCACAGAGCTATGACATTTTACACCATGGACTAAATAACTAATTGCACTACAGTTTTTCCAGACTGGAAAATAAAAAAACAAAACAAAAGGCTATTTGCAAGTGAAGTAAGATTTGTAAAATGACAGATAAGAAGGTCCGTTTTCAATTTTAAATCAACCGGGTTTTTAAAGTAGAGCCTAAGAGTTTCTAATCGATGTGATTTCCCTCCAAGGAAGCCATACATTTTCTGTATGGTAGGTTTGTGTAGATTCCCTCCTTACTGTTACAGATTTGAGTCCTGCTGTAAGAGATATATATATAGTGTTTTATTCCCAGGGCTTTCACTGTGATTTCACAGAGCTGCAAGCTGTATGATATATGTAGATATTCTATAATAACAAGAGGACGTGCTCTTCATTCTATATGCAAGCCAGGCCGGTGGAACGTTGAAGCACCCGACTCGGTGCTTTAAGTGCGATTAACTTAGCAGGGGATTGTTTACAGGGAAAGGGTTACTGGATGTGCTGAAACTTTCTGCTGTGTTAAAGTTGGAGGCATTTACTGTATCTTGGGCTGCCCCACTGATTCCATTAGCATGCAGGTGTGCAAAAATCAAACAAACGTTTATGGTTTATGTTGTTAAAGTGTTACCGCCATGCATCTTCACAGCTCGAACCATCATGAGTATTGCTAACGTACTGTATGCCATGAACCGCTCACACTGCCCAGATGACTAATAACTGCAGTGGGTGCCCTTACTGCTCGAACTCATGTTTTGTTTCTCTGCTCAGAGACTTGTACATGTTGTAACATAACACAATGCCACTTTTAAACTAATGATACTTTTGCTACTAAAGACCTGTATGTCTTACCCCCCTTTTGCCAATACTTCGATATTTTCTCTTGTTTTGCCTGTTTCAAATCTTAATCAGTAGATCTGTTACATTTCAAGATGTTAATTTTTTTTCCAATAAACTAATTTATTCGGTTTGTGGTTGGTGTTCTGTTTTTATTTTTTCATCAAATGCCCAAGGTTTTATGTAAATGGTATTGGGCTCTTTGTACGTTTTACCTTGATAAAAAGCTGACATTCTTGTTAAAGGGAAATTACAGTCCTAGGTTTTTTTTTAGATACTTGAGTGGTCACCATAGAGTAGGTTCTGACTCTGGGAGTCATGCCTGTGGCTGTCAAAATGTTGCAATGCCTCATGGGATTTGTAGTTTCACCGCAGCTTGAGGGCCAGAGGTGGGCTACTTCAGCTGTCGAGGAAACCCTTACTGCAGTAAGGCAACTCCGGCCCTCCAGCTGTGGTGAAACTACAAATCTCATGATGCATCTCTCTCCAGGAGTCGTGGCTGTGAGAATCTTGCAATGCCTCATGGGATTTGTAGCTCCACCACAGCTGGAGGGCCGGAGTTGCCTTACTGAGTAGAATATGGGACAGTCATTACTGACTTCTGAAAATGCAGTTGCCTGTATTCCTATTGTATCAATGATGAGTCTGAATGAGTGAGTAAATGGAGTGCATGGAGTAAACACAGTTGTCCGGTGCAGCTAGTGGTGTATGCCCCTAAGGCCCCGTTCACACCAAGGCGTATTGTTGAACACACATCAAATATGCTCAAAAGTACGCACTTTGACGCGCGGTCACAATATCTGCACAAATGTGTAACATGCTTGTTCTGCCATTATTGGGTAACTGCACCCCAAATGCAAGCGAGCACCCCCCCAATCGGTCATGCATGTGTAAATGGGGGGGAAATACTGAATACATGTCAGCAAATTTTCAACATCTACTTTTCCGTGGTTGGTGGGTGTCCAGGGGATCAATGGGGACCCACGGGAAACAAAGTCCCCCAAATGTGTGGGAAACATGCTGCCACGCCCTGGTGTGAACGGGGCCTTGGGACTATTTTCCTCTAAGGTGAATAATCCCATCAACCAGTGTTAATGTTCTAAAACCATGTCTCAGGTGGTGACTGTTACTGTTGCCTGTGTGAATGTCTGCTCTTAGGGCCGGCTCACACCACAAAGTCTGCGTTCCAGAGTGTTTGGCCTCTGGAACGCACACCAGCCAGCTCCCTGTGTTCAGGGGCGGGAGGGAGCGTGGCGGTGCATTGAAGTCAATGGCACCGCAGCCACGCCCCTCTTCTGCACCCGGAACACAGGCTCGGCTGCTGTGCCATTGACTTCAATGCACCGCCACACCCCTTCCCGTCCCTGAACACAGGGAGCCGGCTGGTGTGCGTTCCAGAGGCCAAACGCTCTGGAACGCAGACTTTGTGGTGTGAGTCGGTCCTAAACTGAACATTCAAGCCCACTACTGGTTGGTTTCACAGCTGATCATGTCCAACACCATGGCAACTGCAGATCTAAATGGAAGCCAAGATGGCAGTCTTCAGCTGTAAAGAATGGAAGAGTTTAGTTCCACTTTAAGAATCGCTTGATGTCACTCCTTGAACCCCCCCACTAAAGCCAACTGACCCTGTTGTACACGTGTGTAGCATTATGCTGCCAGTGCTTTCAGAAATATGCAACACTGTATTTACATCACACTCATACACTCTCTTCAATGAGCTATAAGCTAATATTCACATATGGAGCCAACATCTAGATGGCCACCTTAATCATTTTGGAATGCACACACATATGCTGTGTTTACCAAGCCCATTCAAGGCCCTAGCACGCAGCTCATCAAAGTAAAAGCATTGTTTACAATGAAGAAAACCCGCATAGTCAATGACGCTTAAACTTTAATAGACCTAATAATTATGAATTGGCTGTTGGAAGGAATGGTCACTCTGCTAACGTGGGGCAGCCATATTTGTCAAACATGCAAGCATTGGTACATGCTTAGTAGTACTTGAGTATTATTACCCCTGGCTCCCATTGCAAGTCTATGGGGGTCTTTTTATAACATGTTAAAAGATCAATTTTGCTAACTCCTTATGCAGTTTTGGCATTGTGACATTGACTTTGCTATACTTTTCTATTCACAATGAAAGGAGTTCATATTGCTGTTTAATTTTGGATATAGATCAGAATTGTGATTTGCGTCCAATTCAAACATGTCATTATTCTTAACAGGAAAGGTTTCTTTGCCATTTATAATATGTGAACAATCTAGCACCCTCTATTCTGACTCCGATCGTTGTGATAGCGAGATATATCCCTTGCTGAGACCTCTATGCCTGGCCTGTATAAGCAGATATACTCACTGCGGACAATCCTCGTCAGATAGCTGAACTCGTCAATACCGATTCATTCAAAAAAGGTGTTTATTCTTCTACATCAGGTTACAGCAGATGATAGGAACAGCAGTTGAACGGTTATAGTATTGTGCGGTCAGAAAATGATGCCTTTCCTACGTACTGTGCAGATTACATGTGGGTCCTTGTTACATGTGGCTTTCAACTGTGCCCATGACCCAGGAAGTACTGCACACAGGAAGCAGGAAGGGGCTACACTAGGGGGAAATACATCGTCACATGAGGAATAATTACAGAAAACATGTTTGTTACAACAAAAGGCCACTAGATGGCAGCATAGGATAACACATGGATTTAGCTATGAGAAAATAGTTAGGCAAATCACACTATATAAATTCTAACCTATATAACAATGCTAATATTAACTGAGGCTATGCATCTCATATTCTATGCCCCTGTTGGGGCGGCACACTCTCTCAAAACTGTTTTATGATTTGCACTTTTAATTTCATCTAACTATGCACTTAATTTTTCTGAGGAATTTATAGGACATTTTATCATTTTGTACAAAACTAAAAATTGTAAAAGAAAAGCAATCATTGAGGATGAAAAAGGGAGAAGGAAGACTAAATCCCCTCCTTGGCAGCTGTCACCAGAAGTGGGGTCCTCATTAAAAGATTTCTCCACCTCCTGTTCTGGAAACAATAGAGAAGCTAAATCTCCCTTTAAAAGGACACCAATGTCAATCTAAACTCAATAGAGGTTCTAACCCTCCAATGAACAATCAAAACCTAAAAAACAAAGTTGGCTAGTGATTCACATTAACTTGAATGGTAAACTGGGACCAGACTGCTACCCTACCCAGCTTTGTAGCTTAATATGGATATCTCCAACAGTGATGATGTCACAAAGCAGAGAGAGAGGGAGATAATGGGCTTAAATCTCCCCAGATATCCCTGACTGTTTAATTCTTGTAGGCGGGGTCATATTAAAGCTGAACTCCAGTCTTGCACAGTTGGCCACTCTCTTGTCCTAAAATTGCTTACTCTAATTTCACTGCACCCAGTAAGCTTCTCACATTGTGCATTAGAAGTTGTAGCAAGTCAAAAAAGAGGCAGCATCATCTATCCCTTTTCTTCCCTGGCCTGATGTCCCTTTCCTTTGTTTTTAAAGCCCATTTCCCACCTTTTGTTTTTTTTTTTTTACATGCCAGCAATGTACACAGTGTACATGAAGCAGGCATATGCAGTTGCTGTACATAAACACAGAAACTTACATTTTTTGGAGGGGTCAGTTTTTTTCTTTTCATATCCTTATGCAAATGGCCGCCGCTGTGCAAGTAATGTGTGTCTTTGCAGAAACTTTAGAATTTTTAGGCTTCAGGCCTAATAAAACCTTCATTAAATAAAACATGAAGAAAGCCTGCAATGCGAGTCATGAAAATGTACACATGTATGCATCATCACTGCACCTTTTCATTACCTCAATAAATGCATATCACTTACAAAGGTGGAAATTGACTTTTTTACAATTATGGAGGCTCAGAGGCACATCTGGGTGAGTCTTGTCTTCAGGGAGCTATGTACAGCCCTTTCCTCCAGCCAGGATCTGCTTGCTTTGCAGAAACACCCATTGGTGACATCACTGGGTCTATAAGGAGGTATGTAATGAAAGGAGAAAAAGGTCTATTTAAAAATTGTAATAGCACGTTAATGTGGAAGGAGGAACCAGAGAAGACAAAATATTAGCAGATTCCAAAATCATGCTTCAGAATGGGTTACTGAGGCTGCACTGAAAGCTGTGATCTCCAGTCCCGGCATTGTAACATGAGTTTCAGAGGCCTGCCTGCATCACACCAGAAAAAGTGGAGTAATGGAGTGTTGGTGGCCTTGCTGAAACAGCTAATTATCAGGTAGGAGCTGTACTTCTTCCAGTGATTATATTTATGGTCCTATAATGTCCAGCTATAATGGTTTATTTTGTTTTGGACAGGTTGGGCCAGGGCTGGAGACACTCTCAGACATTTATTGCTGTCTATTCGAACAATTTGCCTTCACTTCCTGTCAGGCTAGAAAGTGATTGGAAATCTGTCCAATGGAGACATGCAAAACACATTGAAGGGAATTTATCAAAACCGGAGCAGCTGTGCATGGCAACCAATCAGCTTCTCTCTTTCATTTTCAAATCTTAGCTGAAGAGAGAAGCTGATTGGTTGCCAAGCACCAGATTTTGTCTGCTCCCGTTTTGATAAATCCCCCCCATTTTGTTGTGGGGTGGAAGGGTTAGAACCTTTGACATTGTTTTAAGTACTCTCTTGCTTTGAGGTGAGGAATGTGACAGACATTTTAAATCTTCCCAACACTATCCAGAACCAAAAAATGATTGGACTTTGGCTTTAACAT